AACAAAACTCCTCATTGGCAACGGGAAGGGCATTCGGCCAGTAAAACACTCAGCTCCATTCAGCTGCTCAGACTCCACCCCGCAAAGGGATTACGTAGTCATTAAAAGAAAGAAAGAAAAAATATTCAGATAGCTAACAGGGATCTTCCGTCTGCAGGAGCGGGGGCCGGTGATGTGGGGGTGGTGATCGTGGACCCCCAAGGACGCCGGGACACGGTGGAGGTGGTCTTGGAAGACAAAGGAGACAATATTTTCCGCTGCACTTATCGGCCCGTCCTGGAGGGTCCTCACACCATCTATGTGACCTTTGCGGGGGCTCAGATCCCCAAAAGCCCCTTCACGGTCAATGTGGCAGAAGGTAAGACCCTTCCCTTCTCCTCTCCAGCTCTTCTGGGGTCCCCTCTTCCTCTCTTCTCTCTCTCTCTCTTCTCTTCGCACTGACCCTCCTCCGCCATGCTTGTTTTGACATCTCTAATGACCTCCTGACCACTAAACCAGAAGGTTTCCCCCCTACCCCCCTTGTCCCATGGAGACCACCGACCAAGCTTATCCAAGTACGGGAGATCCAAAGGTGGCCCTGAGAAGATCTCTAGATCTTCTCGGCGCAGACCCCGGTTCAAACAGGAGGCTGACTCGGGCCGCCGAAGCGATCCGGTCGACGCCTCTCTGCCAAATCTCCCTCACCGAGTTGTTGTTTGAGGGAGACCCTCTTCTTTTTTGGTGGGGGGGGCTGGGGGAAGAAGGCGCGACATGAGCACGGACGCAAAATTGCACCGTTATCTTAACACAGCGGTCTCCAACGTCTCTGGGTTTGCAGGGGGGGCGGGAAAGGAGATGGTTCGGCGCACGAGAGGATGTGCGTGGGCAAGCAACCTGCGCGCACGCCCACGGCACGCACAAATGGAGTTTCGCACGGGTGTGTAGTTGCCCACTGCTTATGCAAGCGGAGCAGGGGTGGGATTCAAATTTTTTTTTACCACCGGTTCTGTGGACGTAACTAGGTGGGCGCACTTTGCGTGCACGCCCAGGGTTTGCTACCGACTTTCTCCTGCAATCCTGCACTCTCCCTGTGACTTCAACAGCTGATGCGCGGCAATCCTCTGTGCCACGCGAAGCAGCTGCGCTTCAGAACCAGAAAATACAGGTCAGGATACAGCCGGGCGCCCAACGGCTGATCCTCGGAGCTACCGGTTCGAACAAACCATGACGAACCGATACAACTCCGTCACTGAAGTGGAACTACACCCATGTGCTTGCCTGTGGCTTCTGCACCCCGGGTGTGAATGGGCCGCGCGTCGGGATTGTGTACCTCTGTCTTAAGGGGTGCTCTTCTTTCAAAGCTAAGCACCCACCTACCCCGTTTCCATGCTGGAGAAGGAGGGAGATTTCTTAGCATGACGGAGACCTGTCCTACTGATATAAGGTAGTACAGGCAGTCCTCAACTTACAACGGTTCATGTAGCGACCAAAGTTGCAACGGCACTGAAAAAACTGTGACTTATGACCGTTGTTCGCACCTACAGCCGTTGCAGCATCCCCGTGGCCACCTGGTCACAATTCTGATGGCCGGCAACAGGTTCGTATTTACGTTGGTCCTGAGGTCACACGATCCACTTTTGCAACCTTCTGACCAGCAAAGTCCACGGGGAATCCAGATTCGCTCAACGACCGCTTTACTGACTTCCACCATTGCAGCGATTCACTTAACGGCCATGTTACTGACTTCCACCATTGCAGGGATTCACTTAACGACTGTGTTACTGACCTCACCAATTGCACGGATTTACTTAATGACTGTGGCAAGAGAAGGGGTATAAAATGGGGCGAAACTCACTTAGCCAATTTGCCCTGCTTAGCCACGGCCAACGTTGGGCTCGATTGTAGTCGGAACTCAAGGACTTCCTGTACTTGTGGCTCAGGGTTGAAGTGTGGGGAAGCTGGCTGGGGAATTCTGGGAGTTGAAGTCCACCGACTTTCAAGTTGTCGAACAATCAACCCCGATTCAGAGGATTTTTAAAAAGGGCCGTGTGTTCGCTCTCAACCCCTGGAAAGTGAACTTGTGCAGGAGTACTGGTCATCCTCGTCTTACGACCACAACTGAAACCCCACATTTCTGTTGCTAACTGAGACATCGAAGTGAATTTCGCCCCAGGTTACGATCCTCCTTGTTGTCGTTGTTCAGTAAATCCCTGCAGTGGTTCAATTAGAAACATGGAGTTTGCTTCCCCGTGGAGTTTGCTCATCAGAAGGTCACAAAAGGGTATCAGGAGACCCTGGGGACATGGGAACCGTCGTAAATACGAGCCAGTCGCCAAGCCTCTGATATTTTGATCCTGTCACTACAGGGAATGCTGCAACAGTCGTAAGTGTGAAAAACGGTTGCAAGCGTAAAAAAAACGGTTGTAAGTCACTTTTCTTCCAGCGCTGTTGTAACTTTGAACAGTCACTAAGTAAGCTGGTTGTAAATGTTGAGGAGTACTCAAATCACCCTCTTCCAAGCCCTGTCCGTTGCGTCCGCATACTGGACTTCAGTAACCTTCACCCCCAGCCTCAAGATTTGGTCTTTGTGGTCCGAGCCATTTTGCCTCTGCTTGGCTTCCTTTCCGTCCAGCCTTGGGGCCCGGGGATCGACCTGGGAGGGGCCCATCGTCCCCTACTTTCCTGCAGGGCAAAACAGGAACCGTTGACACATCAGTGCTTCCTGCCTCCTACGACCCCACCCTGCACAAATATTTTTCCTAGTTTTCCAACCTAACTCCCGGAAACGACTCGGCGTACATTCAATGCAGCTGTTTTTCACGTCTGTTTTATGGCTTACCATGTTTCCCTCCCCACACACACACAAATTACGGGTAGTCCTCGGCTTACAACAGTTCACTTAGCGACCATTCCAAGTCGTTAAACGGCCCTGGAAAAAAAAAAAGAGACTCAAGATCATTTTTCATGCTTACAACTGTTGCAGCGTCCCTGCGATCCAAATTCGGATGCTGGCTTGTATTTACGACGGTCGCACAGTTCCCCTTTTGCGACCTTTCTGACGGGCCAAGAGGGAAGCCGGATTTGCTTCACGATGGGCAGGCTCCCTTGCAGGCGTAAGTCGAGGACTACCTGTATGCCAGCCAGATCACCGTTCTTTGGAAGCCCAGTGAAAAAATCTCCATTTGTTTCTGTTTTTTGTCTGGGTGTAAACTTCATTTCTCATGTAAGAGGGCCACGGAGCAAAACGTGTTTTTGTAAAATAAACCTTCAGCAACTTACACCCGTGTAGAAGCAACGGGTGAGTGTAAACGTGCATAACTCCACTTGTGCGAGCAGCGAGCAAGCGCGTGCACGCTCGCAGCTTCATTTGTGCAAGCAATGGGCCCGCGCGTCCAACCCTCTCGTGCAAATGGAGCTGTGTGCGCGCAAGCACTCATCCATGGCTCGTGCGTAATCCTTCCTTCTCTCTCCCCACCCGCCGGTCTACAAACCTGGAAATTTGGGCGCATGCTGTTCGATGCCCCCTTTAGGGCAGGGGTCTCCAACCTTGGCCGCTTTAAGACTTGTAGACTTTTACTCCTGGGAGTTGAAGTCCACAAGTCTTAAAGTGGACAAGGATTTAGGGAGTTCAACATTCCCATTTCACAGATGGGCAAACTGAGGCCACAAGACCAGTGCCTCCCCTTCTAGCCGAGCCCTTCTGCTTTTGAGGGGGTCTCCGTTCTCTGCTCCCCAAACTAGCTTCTGGCCACAAACCCCCTGGGCTTCCTTGCCTCCCCTGGGGGTCTACTCACCCCCCCTCTCCTCCTTTACTAACCCTTCTCTCTTCCCTCCGGCCCTTGCAGCGCCGCCTCCTGCTCCCCCACCTGCTGTCTCCCCCATTCAGATCATCCCTCAGTCCGTCTGTACCCCACCTGCCGACGCCAAGAAAATGCCACCCCCCACTCTGCCCAAGCCGCATAAACCAAGTTAGTAAAAAAACGCCCACTCGGCTTATCATCTGCATTTGAGCGCCTTTGGCATGGGTGAGCATGGGCATGGGTGAGTTTTTCCAGTCATCCTGGTTTCCTTCTGAATGCTTCCTAGCCAGGATGGTGAACTGGGGTTAGATGCAAATGTTGGCCGTTGTTTTTAAAATGGATGCTTAAGCAACCCCGGCAGAGCTTTAAGGATGTTGGGAAATGTTCGCACGATCCAGGCATCCTCACTCTCAGATGGGTGGACTTCAACTCCCAGAATTCCATAGGATGAACCAGGAATCTCCAAGCTTAGCAACACTGAGACTTACGGACTTCAACTCCCAGAATTCCATAGGCTAAACCAGGAATGGACTTCAACTCCCAG